ACACCACGTCTCGCTGGCGTATAACAACACAGATTTCGTGTACGAGTTGAAAATTCGGATTTTGGTGCGTTGACTTATCTGGTTGGATCTCGTGCATCTATGTCGCTCTTGGTCCCGCTGTCCGATGCTATTTGGCTGCCAAGATATTGGAAACATTCGACCTTCTACACTGCTTGCCCCGCTACCGTAAAGTTGGAAGGGTTGCCCGTGTTGATATCCAACGATTTGGCCTTGTTGACGTTGATGGTGAGACCCGCCGCAGAGGAGCGTTCGGCTAGGTCATTGAGCTTACTCTGCATATCAGAGCGCCGTTGTGCTAGTAGAGCAACATCATCAGCTAAATCGAAGTCGTTGAGATGCTCCATGGTGATAGGCTGCCAAAGCAGCCCACGGTTCGGTACACGGTCAATTGCACCTACCATGATCTCGTCGATTACGATGAGAAACAGTAGCGGTGATAGCATACATCCTTGTCTCACACGATCGACTACCCGGATAGGGTCGGACAAGGCTCCGTTATGCGCAACTCTGCACGTGCGCTTCGATGAGGTTGACGATTTTATCCGGGACTCCCTTACGTCTCAGGGCGCCCCACAGATTCTCGTGATTGAGACGGTTGAAAGCTTTTTCTGCCTGCCTGCTGCCGTCGGAGAGTCGCGTCGATCTTCTCCTGTATCCGATTTAGGATAACTTTGCACAGAACCTTGAGACCTTGGGACCTTCACTAAGATGCCCTGCATCCAGTCGACCGGAAAAGTCGCGGTGTCCCAGATATTACAGAATAGTTGATGCAACATTTGTGCGGATAGCATGGGGTCAGCTTTGAGCATCTCTGCTGATATGCGATCGACCTTGTTGGATTCCATGCTTCGGATAGCTGCTTCAATCTCCTGCAGTGATGGGGACTCGGAATTGACGCGAATGATGCGCCGCACCCTACGCGGATCATGCCGAGATGTTGATGGCTGGTTGGCCGTCGAAGCTTGAAGAAGTTGTTCGAAGTGCTCAAACCAGCGTTTCTGCTGGTCAGTGGGGTCGGTAAGCAATTGTCCAGTCGTGTCCTTCACTGGCATCCTCGCGTTCATCCTTGCTCCACTCAGGCGTCGTGAGATATATCGCCAGTGTTTGCGGCTTTCTCCTCTTCGTCGGCTAGGGAGTTCATCCACGCTCACTTGTCGCGTCTTCAAGAGCGCTTGACTTCCTTCTCTAGAGCCGAGTACCGTTGACGGGCTTCGTTCTTGGCTCCTCTGGTTCTCGCCTGCTCTATCGCGGCTTTTGCTTCTCTACGCTCCTCAATCTTCCGCCAGGTTTCATCTGTGATCCACTCTTTCCTCAGGGTGCTCAGCTCACCCAAGTTGTTCTCGCTTGTTTCTATAAAGGCATTCTCGATGGCCGTCCATTGTTCTTCTACGCTGCCACCTTCTGGAACGTCCGCAGATCGAGTCTCAAGTTCTTCAACAAAAGACCTTTTTACCGCTGGATCTTCAAGTCGGCGAGTGATGGTCAGACGCGATGTCGGCGCTGCGTTTATTCCGGACATCAAGAAGGCTCTGTCTCCACTTTCGGCTGATGCAGATGTGGTCGATCTGATTTTCGGTATGTCCATCACGGGAAACCCACGTGACTTGGTGCACTGGCCGATTGGGGAAGAGCGAGCCCCCGATCACCATGTCGTTATTGCCACAAAATTCTGCAAACAGCTCACCGTTCTCGCTCATTTTGCCGAGACCATGGCGTCCCATGACACGCTCATAGTCCATGTTGTCGGAGCAGATCTTCGCATAGAAGTCGCCAGTGTAGATTTTGATGTCACCCACGACGGCATTCAGTTGACTGTAAAAAATCTCCTTGCTCGGCAGCATCGGTTGGCGCATAACATTGGATTATGGTAAGGTTACGAACCCGTGTTCTAAATCTGGCAACGATTATCCTCACATTAACAGGCTCCCACTTGATGAGCGCAGCACTTGCCTGGACGCTAAGTAGGAGACCAACTCCACGATGGCGGGGAGCGTTTTCAACTCGAATACCAGAGTATAGTAGTACCTGTCCCGACGGCAGTTTGTGTTCTCCAAACTTTGGCCAACGAACTTCACTCAGTCCCAGGATTTCTAGCTTCATGCGTCGCGCCTCGTTGGCGAGTTGTGCCAGTCTACCCTGCTGGGCTAACGTCATTACATTCCATGATCCAATTCGTGTCCGTTGTTTTGCGCTAAAAGTCGTTGCCGTTAAATCAGTTCGATGTCTTTCTCTGTTGGTTTCTGTAACAATTGTAAAGGTTTCAGAGACAGTAGGTGGTTGGCCTAAGGTCTCCTATCCGCCGTGATGGGGCTGCCATCTTAGGTATAGCTTCCGGGTATAGCTAGGTATATCGCTCCTTCCAGATTGTCACTCACCATTTTGTAGCCGGCTATCGAGAGATTAAATCAACAACAAATAAACAATAGGGTATACGCTCCTATAGTTGCGGTACGTTAGAAGCGTTAGGTTCCTATAAATGTGTATGGAGACTCCGTACACAACTATAGGAACCTAACGCTTCTAACGTACCGCAACTATAGGACCGTTTCCCCTACATACTTTTGGTTGCATCGCCAACTTGAGGTTAATCCTAACCGAATACCCTACCCAACCCTCCAACTCCGTAGCACTTATGAGGGTGTCGCTAAGTCGGTGGCCTCTCGTTAAGTAAGTACTACATCAACATTTCCTTCCCTATCCCTAGTTATGGTAAAGATGGGCGTGGCCGGGAATAGCGACAGTCATGCTTCTGTTACTCTTGTTTAGATTGGAACAAATGTTTACTCCCCAGCATTATTCCTGAAAGTAGTCTAACTGAGAATTTCAGAAGAGACGTGAGTGTCGCTAGTATCCAATCTACGAAGTATATCATTACAACGCTAACGCTAACGCTACTTGTCTTATGTTCTGGACTAAAACATACAGTTTTGAGAAATTATAGTATATCGATATTTAATCGCTGGCGTCTTCAGGCTCTACCAATTGGCCTTGAGTTCAGGGTATTTTCTTCAACGTCTGGGACCTCCGTAAAACTTCAAGCACTTCTAAGCAGTTCATTGAACATCGTAAAAATTGTAGAAATTCTAGGAACTTCATAGACCTTCAGAAAAAAAAAATCGTAGAAACAAGGAACTTGGAAAAGTTCTGAAAACTACGTAGATGTGAAAATTCTATTTAAGTTTGAGGAGCTTCGTAGAAGTTAAGGGATCATTATTTTATTTCGGGGAAGAGCATTATTGATCGGGAACCTCTATATAATTTCAGGGCACTTTTTTGAAGCCTCATGGATTTGGTCTAGTTATGGAAATTACGTACAAATTCAAGAAATTTCATTCATAGAGCTTCGCAGAAAATTAACGAGAAACGTAGAAGTGCAGCAAATTTTGTAGATGTTTTTCGAATTTCGTAGCATTTTGAGGAGCTGCGTAAAACTTCATATAAGTGTAAGGAATTTTGAAAAAGTTCAGGGAATTGTAGAAGATCTGAAAATAATTCAATAAACTTCTAAGAACTTCAGGGATCATCGCTTCAGTTTATCTAGCTTCTTTGAAGTTTGTCACAGATCTTACTTCAAAAAAGCTTCATGAACTTCTTGGAGGTTTTTAAAAACTTCGTTAAATTTCAGGGATCATTGAAATTTGCAAAGAAGTTCCTGATTTGGCAGGCGATTTGCGGATGTGATGAAATAAGCACTCCCTTCATCATTTCCGGAACAATCAACGGTGCGATTTACACGGAAAAGTGCATTGAGAAGCGGTTCTTGCCATTCATAAGGAAGCACAAAGGATCAACTTTGTTTTGGCCTGATCCAGAATCCTGCCACTACGCTCGAAACGTGTTGTGCCAAAAGATATGAACCCACTAAACTCACCGGAACTTCGCTCAATTGAAAAACTCTGGGCAATTATGAACACGGAACTTTGCAAGCATCCCAAAACTATTAAATCAGAGCTGGAGTTGAAGAAAATTTGGGTGAAATTTGTTGTTGAAAATTTGATGGGTGGAGTGAAAAGGAAGGGGCGGGCATTCGGGATGGGAGACGAAATTGAATAAAACAAATTTTGTAAATCATCATTCATTAGTTGTTTTTCATTCACTGAAAATTTCAAGAAAATCCGATAATCGGTTTAATTTTGGTGAGTAAATATGTGTGTGTCATTTTTATCGAATACACCCTTTACCTGGTAAACGAAAGCATCCAAAGACGCCATATATGTTTTGCAAAAAAAAACATGTCAATTTGAAGCAGTCTTGGAGCCTTTTGGACTATTCCTTTTAACTATATGTAGCTAATAATATAAAACCGGGAAAACTATGACGGGCAAACGGGAAAGAACCGGGAATTTTTTTTTTTTATTCTAGTGGCCACCCTGTTTATCGTATGTCATATAATACTTCTGATTCCCTGACCAACACTAGAGTCGGTTTATAATGAGTCACGCCAAGAGTGAAGCCAAGTCTACCTATTGAACTGTCAAACCGGCTACCTATCGTGCAAAGTAAACAAGCATTACGATGCAATGAAAGGTCCACGAAAAGTATTGCAATTTAATATAAAATATAATCGAAGAAATGATCATATACACGCAGTGAGCATTACATTGTCATGCGATACGTTTTGTAATGATCAGTAATGACAATTTCTACTATTTTTCTTTAAGATAATTCGTCAAAATCCCTGATAATATAATGATTTACTACAGCCGTTAATATTTTCCTCGCTAGAAGTCATTTGAAGTTGATGCAGAAGTCCTCTGTTGCCAAGTTAAAAGAAAGGGAATCGTTCAAAAACCGTGATGCGAGTTCAACTGTTTTTCTCTTGGCGTGACTCATTATACACCGACTCTAACCAACACGTTTTAATAGAATGTCACTTGTCTTTTTCTTTCCAACGAGATTCATATGACAGAAGCAGCCGACTGTAGTGTGCCATGTTTTCTACAATTTTACGTCATACATTCCACCTCTCTTCGTTACAGATCCTCCAAACCATTCCGTTCGACCGGGTCCACGTCAAGGTCATCTCCATCCATCTGGTGCACTACTACGAGGAGGACGAAATGATCATCGACGTGGACGAATATGTGCAGAACATCACCCGCTTCCTGCTGAGCAAGTCGTACAAAATGGTCCACAGCTACGATCGCAACTTCATCTACCAGTACGTGAGCGTCAACAGTGGTCTCGGCGCCAGCATCAGCCGGGTCAATAGCGTGGTGGGTCCGAGCGATGGTACCGTGTCCAGTTCGGGTGGCAGCGGTGAAGGAAGTACCAGCACGAGCAGCAGCAGCAGCAGCAGTATTAGTAATGTTAAGACCACTAGCAATAAGATTAGCAATAGCGAGAAGGGTGAAGTGGTGCGGAAGATGGTTACCACAGCTTCGCCGGCTTCCGTATCCACAGTGAAGATTGCCGTCGCTGCCGAGATGCTGCTCGAAGGTGGTATTGGCACTAGCAGCAGTAGCATTGTTAGCTCGATGGTAAACGTAGAACGCGGAGCGATTGTGGAAGAAGACCTGGAAGAGGAACCGGAGCTGCAACAGCAAGGTTCCAGCTCGCCTCCGATGGTCAGTTCGCTGTAGTTGGAGCAGCAGGTTGAGAAGTTTGACACGGAAAGCGTCCGCAGTTGCCTTGATTGTATGACTTCGAATTCAAGAATAAGTTAGTGCGTGCGCGAATTAGGATACGATCTTTTACACGAAACACCGAAGCTACCGATTCATCATTCCAGAATGGTTTTTTGCTCTCTATTTTTTCGTCGGTGTGATGCGTGACGATGTGGCTGGCGGTCGATCAGTTTTGTTGTATGTAGATAGTGGAGGAAGTTTGGAGGAAAAATAGGTAGCATCTAGCCGAAGAAATCCTATCACCAAGAACGGGTTCACATAATATGTTCTTTAACCTTACTGGGAGGTTTGTTTCAGTTTTGCATTTCTTTCAACGCTCTCTGAACGGAATTGAAACATACCGAAACGAATAGGAGAAAGATTATATCGAAATATATTCATATTTATTGAATTCTAGCATTTAGGACAAATATCATCTACTTATTTTCAGAGACGTACAGTTTCGCAGTAACATTTTAGAAGATTTTCGATTGGAGAAACATGATTGCTCAAAAAAAAACAAAACAGTTTGAAGAAGAAAGATTTGAATTCATTGTTGGCAAAGGAAAAATTTGAATTGTGTTCGATCAAAGTTTGCTCGATACTGCCTTCTTTTGGGGCAAATTTTAGTTTGAACTGAAATATCCATCGTACGCAGAAAACGTACAATTATCATGCATTTTTGGTTAAGATTTAGTAGTTAGAGAGCAACTTGAAATTAAGTTGCTAATTAGTATTATTACTCTGCGTCAAGTATTGTATTTTGTTCAATTTCTTTTAATGAAGCAAAAAAAAAGTGAAATTGTATCGATTTTAATCTCTTATTTTATCTTCTAATTACAAAACGATCCTATCATAAACCATAACAAGAACAAGTGAGAAAACTGAATTGCTGCGCGGGCAGATAATACAGAACCGTGAATGTAGTTTTATACATTTATCTACTTAAGCGAAACCGGCCCCCGGTTGCGTGGCAGTGAACGAACACAGAAACTGATTAACTATTAAGTACCTTTCATTTTACTGTTGTTAAAATTACACTGATAGTAAAGGAAATACGGCCTGAAGAAGGTTAAGTTTCACTTGAAGAAATAACTGCTCGTCGCAAATGATTGTGAAAGAAATCTCCTTGGTTGTTAAATCACAACTGCGTTGAACTTTTCGGTTGTGCACTTTGCGCGTAACAAAATGCAAGTGCATGTGTTATTAAGCGCATCCCATTATTTTTGAGGTTAAGCTCGCTTTCAAAACTAAAATCCAGCTTCGTCTGTTGCAGTTATGCACTGCTGCCTTATTTATAAGTTCACTTAATGAGCGCAAAATCATCCACCCAACTTATAGATAACCCGCTTTTTCGGTAATTCATACAAATATTTTGCAGACTGCAGGTTGCAGCTGTGGTAAGTGCTTGCTGCTGTCCATGCGGTGTGGCTAGGTCATTGCAGCGATGTGTTGCTGTTACTTGAAGTAACATACTTAATGAAAAACCCTATTCCTTTGAAGTGGACCGAATTCGAATAGACTACCACACCGTTCCGTGGACATCCGGTAATCTGAACGTTTTAAGGCTGTGAACCATTTGCCAAGTTAAATTTAACTCGTGGTTAAAAGTGACATTTCGAAAGTTATTTTCTATGTTCGAAAATCCCCGTGCTGTCGATCGACCGGTTTTCGAGCCACGGTTGTCAAAATTTAACTTCTTGTCTGTCAGAAATAACCATGCTCGGATAGCAGGGTTAATCGATAACTTTTCATCTGTCAAATTTTAACCAAAAGTTAAAATAATCCACCAAATGGTTCAGAGCCTAAATCTGAGCACTTTTTAATTTGAACCCCAAATCTGCGCGCCGTGCACAAGCAGCCCATGCGACACAGCTCACTCGGGGCGGTAGAAGGAAACGAGCAAATTGTTGGCAAGCTGCTTCGCTAATTTGGTTTTGAACCGTCGGGGTTAACCTCAATCTGATGACAGTTCAGTGGTACTGTTTACGTGAACTTAGTCGATTTTTTCTTGGGTAGATTTTCTCGATTATTTTTCAGACTGCAGTGAGATGTAAACCACACTTCTGCATTGTTCACTAGCAACATTCTTTCACCGCGCTGTTCCTCGACAATTTTCAAGTTAAAATTCGGAAATTTTAAAATATTTTTTTGACGTAGGACTACGTCTTTGATTTCTATATGGGGGTACACTTTGTGAAAACCGAAAATGGAACATGTAACAAATTAAGAAAGATTTTGAACGTTAATAACTCAGCTGCCCCTGGTCCAATTTCAATAATTTTATCACCAATCGATCAGAAATATGGCTACGCATCGATAATAAGGCTTCCGAAAGTTGAGTTTCAACAAGAAACAATTGAAAAACTGGTAAATGTCCAGCATTGTCCAAAAGCGTCGAATTAACTAACAAATCCACCAATTACCTACATGCATATGCTGCTTACCCAACACAGTCGTCAGAGAGTAGTATGTTGATGAAACAAGTCGAAGTGGCATTCGCCTCCGATCCTCAGGCGCGTGCGAATAGGGAGGATGGAATTGCGTAATATTTTGCACACTCATCGCCATACTCAGAACCACACGCTCCCAACGACCACACCATTATGTGGTGGTGTTCGGTCGTCGAAATTAGTACCAGCAGTAGCAGTGCTTTCGGCGTGTGGCGTTGAAAATTGTTCTCCAGTAACAACGAAAGGCTGCCTGCAAGCAGCGAGCTGCAGAGCCCACATAAGCAACCATCAAAGGAGGAAGAAGCTGCACCGCTATGCTATGGATCGGAATCAGTAGCTCTTCGTGAGTCGCTGCGGGTCGGTCATCTATACCATGCGTGTCACCCTCGCTCCAAACGACATCCAGCTCGACAGCCTTATGCGTGTTGAACACCCAGCTCAGAATTACTCAACCATCACTACAAAACGGTCCTTTTTAGGGCCACCAAAAATTTGTTAAAGAGTATTATTTGGACATTGGTCAAGGTCATCAGTTCCCGCAAGCAGCTAGCTATCAAGGCTCAACCTGTCTATAGAAGGTGTGGAATTGTAGGCCTGAATATATTGGTGCAATTAGTTTTTCCTCGGCTTTCATTCAGCACGATTCGTTTCTTTCGTTTAATCAATAACCCTTGTAGTGACGTCGACAAGATTGATTCAATCGGCGCTTACATATGACATTTAATGTGGATTGTAGAATTTTTTTGTATGTTACCAAAATTTATGAATGGTTTGCCACTAAATGTTGAGATAATTTATTGATTATTGAATTATCACACTGTATACCATGAAAAAGCAGCCTGTTTGTGAGTTTTTGCCTGTTTTCAAGTAAGGAGTTATCATAAAAAAACAAATCGCCAGCTGGTATTTCCCGGCGACTTTACAAATAAATAAAATCAAACAAAATCATCATGCAGACCTAGCTAGGATTTGTTTTACTTCATATTTCACAAAATTGCTTCCGAGTGTTAAGACATCGTCTCTCGCAAAGTTTACATTTTTCCCTCTACCAACACATACATCAGGGCTAGATAGATCTCCACAGGATCTACAGAATCCACGCAATTTCAAAAAACCAAAATGCACAGCATTACGAAAAGAGGTCAGGTTTCGACCAATAGCAGATAGATTTTAATTCTAAACAAGCCAAACGATTGGAAATTTATCTACCAATCTGCTAAAATGAACACTTAGTTAATTTTCAATAGGTCACAATTGAAAAATACCAAATGTCCAACTGTTGCAATGGTGATCAAAATTATCACCGAATGTCTGAAAACAGCGCATTCTCTAACACAGACTTAAAAATCGATTTCGATGCGGTCCCACTGAACAGTACTCATTCAATCACCGTAAGTGTGGGTGTCCAGTCCAGCAGCAGCAGCAGGAGTGCTTTCAACAACAACAACAACAACAACAACGAAAGGCTGCATGCAAGCAGCGAGCTGCAGAGTTCTTATGAGCAACCATAGAGAAGGAGGAAGAAGTCCCACCGCTAGGCTAGAATCGGAATCAGTAGCTCGTCGTGTTCAGCTCAGCATTACACAACCATCACTACAAAATGGTCTTTTTCAGGACCACCATAAATTTGTTACGATTATTATTTGGACATTTGTCAAGGTCATCAGTTCCCGCAAGCAGCTAGCTATCAAGGCTCAACCTGGTCTCTATAGAAGGTGTGGAATTGTAGGCCTGAATGTATTGGTGAGATTAATCATCGTCCGACCATTTTCCAGAACACGCTTTTAGGCAGTGTTAAAAATCCATATAGAATTTGAGAGAAGTGGGAATAATTCGCTTTGGGTGTATATTAGAGTGATGCAAAATTTGAAATTTTCGCTCCACAATACCTAAACGATTCCAAATCGGATCCTGACTAACCTCTCAAAATTTGAACCCATTTGGTGAGAAACTGAGATGGCACAAACCATTTGAAGTTTGTATGGGAATTACTATGGGACAACCAAGATTTTTGTTCATGTCTATCTAATAATTCACCATATCGGTCTGCTTCAAAAGCTTTCAACTATAGTTGTAGGAAATTTTTCCAGCTACAACTTTGCTGAAGACCACTTTTTGATTAAATGCAAGGATCGAAAGTTATCAATGGTTCAATGCGCTAATGTCTTATGATCATGCTCAATCAAACTGCTCAGCAGGCAACATTGGTGTTTCTGGGGTGTTGAATAGGACACAAAAATCATGTAAATACTGCAAAATACAGTGTTGCCTAGTACAGAGCAGCTGCTTGATCTTGTCATAAGTTTACCAATCTCTTAAATAATTAATAACTTTTTCCTGTCTCCTTTTACATAGAAACGATCTTTGGCAAAGTTGTAGCTGAGAAAATTTTCTATAAGAATAGCTATCGAACTGTTTCGCAGCTCAATATGGAAAAAGATTGGAAGGCAATGAACAAAAAGTTGAGATTTCCCATAGGTATTTACATGTAAACTTCAAATGGCTTGTGCGAAGTCTGTTTCTAACCAAATGAGTTGAAACTTTGGAAGGCTAATCAGGACCCGATTTGAAACCATTTAAGCACTGTGGAGCGAAAAAGTCAAATTTTGCATCAGTCTAGTGTATATTCAGTCCCCAGGAAGCAAATAAAATCAAATTTGTGAGAAAATTAGCTCTCACGAGTTCAATCTCTCGAAGTCCCTCCTTTTTTACATATTCTGCACAAACGATACTTTCATATAATTCGGAAGGAAATCCTGTGAGGGGTGAATTGAATACACTTTAATACAAAAATGCGCAAAACTTAAAAATTCATGAATAACAAAAAATTCAAAATACACCTTTTAAAGTCGGGTAGATGAATCGAAAGTACTCAAGTTGACAGTCTCTTGGATTTTCTTCATCAACTTTCTCTTGGAAATAAATACTAAACAATTTGATACGCTTACAAATTAAAACGGAAAGAGTTAAGATAATTGATGATTGATCAATTAAAATAACTAAATGTTCACATTTTTTCCGTCCACTAGCGGTCATACGTCAAGATCCGTTCGTGCCCCTAAAGGGTGATACGGTCAAAATTTGGTCAATATCAACTTGACGTATTTCTTTCAATTTTGCATTTTAAAAACCTGAACACCCCTCATTTTGAAGGTGTGTGTGTGTAGAATGTTGCTCCTATTTTGATTTTGGAATTCACTCTTCAGTTGTCAAAATGCCGTCCAAGCAAGAAGAGCAGCGTATCAAAATTTTGCTCGCGCATCGTGAAAATCCGAGCTACTCGCACGCAAAGTTGGCAAAATCGCTAAAAGTTGCCAAATCAACCGTTACAAATGTAATTAAAGTGTTTGGGGAACGTTTGTCGACAGCCAGGAAGTCTGGATCGGGGGGAAATCGAAAACCGGAAGCCGCTGAGACGACAAAGAGAGTTGCCGGTAGTTTCAAGCGAAACCCTAACCTCTCTCTCCGAGATGCCGCAAATAAGCTGGGTGTATCGTCTACAACCGTGCATCGAGCCAAAAAACGAACCGGACTATCGACTTACAAGAAGGTAGTGACTCCAAATCGCGATGATAAACAAAATACGACGGCCAAAGCGCGATCCCGGAGGCTGTACACGACGATGCTGACGAAGTTTGACTG